CAACATAAAGCCAAATAAACTCCTCAACGACCTAGTACCTTGATCATATCATCCAATCCTGATGGATACCGGTTGCAACTAATTGTCTGTCCTCTCGGGCAGGGGTGGGGCTCGACGAATCATCCCGCATTAGGCAAAGCACCCAAACGTTGACGTCGTCCAAACACGCATCCAGGGCGTCGCCGCACCCAGCCAAAGTGCGCCATGCAGGTTATTCGCTGTTTGTAGGCCAGATTTGCAAGCAACCCCGTCCTCAGGCGCAGTTTCTGATCGGCCCTGCCGCACTTTTTTGCGAATCCAACGTGATTGATTTGGGAAGTCTCGGTTTTATCGATGACATCCTGAGGGTGTCTCAGAGCTGCGGGTGAATGATGAGGTTCTATCGACGGTCTTTGAGTCTTGAAAGCTTCCGAGTCTCGAACGTTTAAATGTGAGGATTTGAGCATAAGTGTTTTTTTGTATCATTCCGATATGAGACGGTGAGGCCGAAAACTAGTTCCAGGTATGTCTGAGCCAAAAGTGATCCGGATGAAATTATTCTGGAGAAACCCAGTCGGGAAATTTGACGCCAAAGTGGACGCGGGACGCGACCGCGTTATTACCTCCTGTAGGTCCAACTTTGTGCAGCACAAACGTCCAATGTACATGTTTAAAGCTTAAAGCTTAAACGGCCTGTAAACAAAGCTCATAAATCCTGCAAACGCATAGCTTGTGAGAAAAAAAAAGTCCTGAGGAGCATGTGATGACCGACACAGCTTCCGGCCTGATGGTGGAGATAAGGAGAGTCGATCGAAAAATAATGTATGATACGACGAGGATTCTGGTCGATCCGGGATGGAGTCCTTGGATGTTTGAAGCGATGCGGAATGTCCGTCGGATGCTGGTGAAGAGTTCCGGCCGTCTTGGATTCTGAGTCTAAGCCCCGTTTCGCTGACCATAACCACCACCTCCGCCACACACCACGCACCCGCACGCCATTCCTATACTCCTCGCACATATTCGTTCTTCTTCACATTCTTCCTTGTTTTCTGCTATCACAAGTTATTGATTGCACATCTTCTCTCGCTATCAACAATAGTCACTTCGCTCACACAAACGCAAATAAAACCCAAGGGGATGGCTGCCCGGGGTGAACCCAATAACGCATGGTCCTACACCAGCAACGCGCCCACCTGGCAAGGACGGCCAACGGTACAGACTCAAGGACGTGCAATGAACCAGGAGGACGCCGCCTGGCGCGGGTGGCAGGGTCCCCCCGCCTCTCCCGCCCCCCACGCAACATTCACCGACTCCACCGTTCGCGACATTCAGCGCGGTGAATTCGAGCCTCTACAGGCTTCGTCTACGTTTTCTTCGTATCCGCCACAAGAGTTCCAGCTGAACACGCTATGCATGGGCAATCTGGAGGCATGGATGGACCACGAGTATGCGAGTCAGGTCGTTCGTCTTATGGGATGGGACCGTACGCCAGAGAGCCTCCAAACGGTTCCAGTCATTATAAAAATCCCTCCGGCCCCGACAGAGATCGTGCCACAGCCCAATAACCCGGGATATTGCCTCCTCACCTTCCCCACACACGCGCATGCGGCACACATCCTCAGCTCCATCCAAGCTATCACTAACAAAAATCAGTCGCAGCCTATTCTAATGCCGAACTCGTCGAGGCGTTTTAATGTCCAGTGGGCCACCACTGCTCAGCTAACTTTGGCGAATTGTGGCCCTGCTTATGGCGCACCCTCTGCTCAGAATGGACAGGTGGTCACCACTTCGTCGTACAATAACACATCCAACGGGTCGCAACCAGCTCCGCCGCAGAAGGAATACTCGATTTTTGTGGGAGATTTGGCTCCAGAGACGTCGAATTCGGACTTGGTGGCGGTTTTTAGGAATCCGGTATTGGGGCTTAGGAATGATAGGTGAACATCGCTGAAAAATACTTTAAAATGTGCTTCTCTGACCTGATTCCTCATCAGGGAACCCAAACTCATTCATCCGTTCTACAGCTGCAAGTCTGCAAAGATCATGCTGGACCCCGTCACTGGTTTCAGTAGGGGATATGGTTTCGTGAGGTGAGCTTCAAAGCTCATGCGCCTTCGCTATGTGCCACGCATATAGTCGAATCTCGGCGCATTTAGTCACGAAATTGGCTACCCCTCCACCCGACGACTGTATGCTGACTTGCTATTTTCATCCTAGATTTGCCGACAAAGCCGAACAACAACGCGCCCTCATCGAAATGCATGGACTTTACTGTCTGTCTCGTCCAAGTGAGTAATTGCCACCTCAAAACACTATAACTTTGCTCACAATTTTTCGTAGTGCGTGTTTCCGCTGCGACGGCTAAATACAAACCCATCACGACTGTCGTTCCACCCGTTCCAACCCCTTCTCAGCCTCCGAACTCGCTCACGCAGGGTATTGGCATGGACCGTTCCGACAGTTCTACGCGTCCCAACCTCATCCGCAGCGTCTCGTCTCCCGTCGCCGTCACTACTCCCTCCATCTCCAACGGCATCAGCACAAGCCCAATTAACACTTTTATGAACAATAAAGATATGCTCACCGGCAGTATTTCCTCGGCTGGGAATCAACAGCAGATCCGAGATAACTCCCTTCAGCCCGACGGCCAGATTAACCCTCAAGTCCTCGCGCATATTAGGAACTTGGCTGCTGAACCGAGTTCTAATCAGCATGGGCATGATGAACGCCAGCACGGACATTCGTACGGTGGGCAAACTGGCTCTAATAACGCAAATAATATGGGATATAGTTCCGCCGGAAATGTTGGGCCTTCTGGGAACGGCATGTATAGTAACGACCCTTGGGCACATCAGGCGCAGGCCAGAGCGATTCTGGGGAATCTCATCGGACCGAATGGAGAACAATTGACTAGTAGTGATCCATATAATACGACGGTAAATATATTGATCATTCATTGTTCATTGTCTTGGCTCACCCTTTATTATCCAGGTCTTCGTTGGTGGTCTCTCTCCCCTCATTTCGGAAGAGACGTTGAGGACTTTCTTTGCGCCATTTGGAGATATCCACTACGTATGTGGCACTTCATTTTTATTGATATCGATATTGAATTTTTGTTTCACATCTCTTTAGGTCAAAGTCCCCCTCGGGAAGCACTGTGGATTCGTGCAGTTTGTGCGCAAGGTTGATGCCGAACATGCCATCGATCGTATGCAAGGTTTTCCCATCGGGGGAAGTAGGATTCGTCTCAGCTGGGGAAGAAGTCAATGTGAGTATCATTCCTTAGGCTGACCTCTCTATTCTACGCATATATGCGTGGGATGGAGTTGTTATTCAATGTTACATGTCGACTAACTCTCCTCCTTTCAGACAAAGCTGCACAGGCAGCAGCTGCCGCCGCCCAAGCTGCTCAAGCTGAACAAACCGCTCGGTTGACCACTGCTCTCCTCAACGGTCAATCGCCGGCATCCCTCAACATCACTCAGGAGCAAGCTGTCCAGCTTCTCCAGAGTATGGGTTATGCATCTCCTCCTGCCGTTCGACCCGCTGCCCGAGCCGGTATCTCTCCCACTCAGGCCTCCTATCAGAACAACACCGAAGTTCGCTTCAATAATGCCAATACATATGGTGGCGGCGGAAATCCTGAGTTGGTGAATCAATATATGCCGAGGGAGTTGGAGCAGCAACGTCCTCAGACGCAATTTTCGCCGTTCTCTCCTTCTACCCACATCCAGACCAGCCTCCTTCCGTTGGATCACTCCCAACAGCAGTCCTCTGCTACGACGCCCTCTCCCTCTATGATCGTCTCCCAAGCGAATCGTAATTTCAATGCTGCCTATGGAACCGCCGCTGAATCCGCTGCTGCGACGAGATTAAAGTCCAACTCACCCCAATCTTCGTCCTCTTCCGGGTCTAGCGTTCGTTATGCCGGACTCGGGATGGGGGGAAATGCGTACGGCGTTGGGACGGCCACCATTAATCAGAACGGGATGTTCCAGGCTAACGATCTTTTGAGGAACGACTCCCCAAGTCTTTACCCCCGTGTTGGACCGTCTTCCTCTCCAGAGGCCAGGCTCAACACCCCGCCTCGCTTCCAGCAGCAGCAGACGCAACAGCCTCAGTCGAGGAATGCTGCATCTCAAGATCACATGCGGGAGTTGAGCGGCACGTTTTCCCACTTGGATATTGGTGGGGAACGTTACCAACGCAGTGCCATCGGCAGCGAGGTCTTCTCCAAGGATCCCTACGAAGATCGCAAGCCCCAAAGCAATAATTCCTAGACCCTGCATAGGTCTTCCGGGACTCCTACCGAAAACAATTGATCGATATCGCCGCAAGCCCAAAAACAAAAACACGTTAATTTTTCTTGGATAAATGTAGCCCTCAATTCCTCTATGTCTCCCCACTCCTTGGATGCATTGTTGTTGTTTTCTCTCCGCTATTCATCTTTCTCCCATCATTTTCTCTCTCTGATCGCTATTTCCATTCAAGTTCGCGCTCTCTCTGCAAATCTCCATCATTCGTCTTTCACGCTTTTTATGGGCATGCAAATTCCAAGTTTCCTTATTTTAACAAACAAAAACAAAAACCCCACATTATTATTCCCCCCTTCGTTCCCTCCCACCTCTTTGCAGCCACCTGATATGTCGCTTCCTCGCAATTTTCGCAATTTTTGTATAGTGTCCTGAATTCGTTTGCTTCTTTTGTTAGCTTTTGTCTTTTCGTTTGAACCTGTTTTGTCTTGTCTGTCTTGTCTGCCAGTAGTAATGTACAGGCCAAGTACGTACTAGCCTCTCTTCTTGTTTGGACTCCCTCTTTTCTATGGAATCAATATTGTACATATGAATGCAATGTTTGTCGTCATATTACCGGGCTTTTAGTATCGCGCGAAAGGCGTTAAACTCACTTACTCTAGAAAAGGGTGTGGAGAGTACTTTAAAAAAATTATAATTTTCTTAAACTGCCATGGATTGAATATTGGCTGTTCGTCATAATTGTTATATATTGGAATAAACATAACAGTCCGTATAGATCAGTGGTTAGATCGTTTGCTTTACACGCAAAAGGCCGCAGGTTCGAAACCTGCTACGGACAGTTGTTGTTTTGCTGTCTATCAATAGAAAGAATTTTACTTGGTGCCCTTGCAGGGCACGCCTTTTTTGATGCTCAGTAATGTCAGAGGCAGTATATATACGTTATTCAATTTAAAATACACTGGCAAGAGAATCAATATTCAATATGCTGTACTATACAAATACTTCTTGATCCTGGCAACCGACTCTTTCAACGCTCCTTCCTTCCCTGCCTTCACTTTGGGGTTGCTCTGAGGAAGATTAAACTTAAACCGTTAAATTAGAGGCGGAATTCAATAACGCACCAGATCACCCTTTACCTGTTCATAAAGAAAGAGTGAGATTTAACAAATTTTCGGGCAACTATTATTGGCGGAGGCTTACCGAGAACCCGTGTACACATTCAGGCCAAGTAACATGTCTATATCTAGGAGCATATTTACTGTCCTCAAGCAGAATATCTATTGATTCAACGGCTTCCTTGGAGAAAAACTCATCGACATCGCAGGAATTGATGAGTATCGGTGCGTTAGATTTAGCCAAGAATAATTCAATATCATAGGGGATTTTCAAGAGGGATGGATGGGAATTGGCTGCAACTTTGATGACATTTTCCTGGCCCAGGTTGACAACATATTTTCCTGTGTAAATTATGAGTCAGAGTTCCCGAAAAAATATATTCTAGACAAACCTCCAAAGCAATATCCAGTAGCACCAAATTGAGTAATGCTCCTTTCTTTAAGAGCAGCAATAACCGGGACTAGTTGAGGTCTGGTTGCACTTTCGTCATGTTTGCCTAACCATCTTACAATGTCAAAGCTCTTGTAACCCTAGACAGGAAGCTCAAAGTTCAGAAATTTCATGGAGTTGATAATGGCTGTTGGGACCTCAGGATGGTCTAGAACAGCAACTGGAACAGAATCTCCGTTAAACAGATCAATAATGTATGTCTTCAAAATTCATGAAGAGACGGCGGTTAATATTAAGGTGACTAACCGTTGATATTAAAGTGCCTAACCGTTGATATTTCAGAACGCACCTGTAGGCCATTAAGAGCGAAGTCATCCGCTTTGCATAACAGTTAGTTTATCTAATTAATAAATTTGAAACAAATCTGGCACACCAAAAGCTGCAATAAGGAGTCAATAATGGAATTGAAATGGGGATAGGACAACTCACTTGGGCATTTCCAAAGGATGGACCGATGCATCTGATACCAGGAGTCTCAGCAATTTTGTACCTACCTTAAAATTAAATTATGGGATTGAGTTAGTGAACATACCGGAAATGTAGAGTAATGCTTTGTCTTTCTCATATTCTCCGGAAGGAATAGCAACGTAGACATCAATTCCGGCTATCTTCTCAATCTTTCCTGTAGTATTCCTTGGAAAACATAGATACTGTATGAATATAAAGTGTGACGACTTGAAAATTTGAATGCACCGTACCTTCGTGGCGGGCTCCTCTAATACAGTCAGGACAGAGGGAAGGTTCAATCGGCATTTCCTATATAGTAAGGAAGAGAAAGGTGTAATTTTCTGCTTCATAACTAATATCTTCTCAAGCTTTATATCATGGAAGCGGCCGTGACCGCGCGTAGTTTTCCAGGTAGCAGCAGAGATTTAGCACCGCGTTCGACGTCGGACCCCGCTGTTACCCATTTTGGACCTAGTGCCCCTCACTACAAGCTATTACCATTGATCGACAATCCCAACCTTATTCGTCTAAATAGATAAATATCAACCCTTAATCATACTGCTGTACGCGTCCTTTCGGCATACGGGATTACAAGTATACTTCGAGGAGATGACGGCTTCAAGAACATTACAAACCCTTCAAGCGATGTATTACAAAGGTCCTAAACATTGGTAGATCCTGTTAGAAAATCAAAGCAATGACCAGGTGTTGTCAGGCTTTGTCAGGTATTCCCCAGGCACCAGGCTCTGACCAGGCTCCGAGTGGTCCCGATGGGAGCTACATCTCGTTTATGCGAGAATTCAGATACTTCTCGATTCAGGCAACTGTCTCCTTAAAATTTTCCTTGCCCACTTTTACATTGGAATCACCACAAACCTTGAGCAACTTAAAGACCCTTATTATAATTATATTTAATTCGAGTGGCTTAAGATCTCTCTTTTAATCTGTAAACTTGGCAACGAAGATTCGTCTCGTTGAAATTCTTATTCCTAACTATTCTCAAGATAATGACCGCAAGTTCATGAATACAGCCGCGACGCTTACAATCACAACCTAATTCTATGCACTCATTGGGATAGCATATATCGTAACAACATCGGACTCGAATCAGTATACACGGTGGCAAGATGCTAACCAGGAATCCTTTAGCCTTACAGATGCTTCATAATCCAGGCAGCTGTCTCCTTGAACGCTCCCTCCTTTCCTGCCTTCACGTTAGGATCGCTCTAGAGAAAATTAAAATTTAATCGTTAAATTAGAGGTAAAAATAAGGTAACTCACCAGATCACCCCTAACCTATATGTTCACAAAGAAAAATGAGATTTATCAATTCAGTTACTATTCTTGGAGGAGGCTTACCGCGAACCCATGAACACATCCAGCCCAATGAGCGCGTTTATATCCAGGAGCGTATTTACCGTCCCCAAGCAGATTGTCTGCTAACTCACAAGCCTCCTTGGGGAATTGCTCGTCGATATCACAGGAATTGATGAGTATAGGTGCCTTAGACTTGGCCAAGAGTGATTCAATATCATCGGGGCGTTTCAAGAGGGAGGGATGGGAGACCGCTCCAACTTTGATGACATTTTCCTGAGCCAAATTGAAGACATATTTTCCTGTGCATATAATCCATAAGTAGGAACTCTTGTAAAAATAATAGGCAAACCTCCGAAACAATATCCGGTAGCACCAAATTGTGTAATACCCCTTTCTTTAAGAGCAGCGATGACTGGGTCTAGCAGAGGCCTGGTTGCACTTTCGTCGTGTTTTCCGATCCATCCTTTAACGTCAAAGGTTTTGAAACCCTGGAGGAGAGCAACCTCAGCTCAGGAATTCTGCAGAATTGAAATTGAATATCAGAGACATGCCTCAGGATTTTCTAGAACAGAAAGTGGGACGGGATCTCCGTTAAATAGATCAATCACGTATGTCTTTAAAAATCACGATTAATCATTTAATGTCTGTGTAGGTAATTAGACCCTCGGATAGTCAAAGAACGCACCTGTAAGCCATTGAGGGCAAAGTCGTCCGCCTTTTTTATATGGTTAGTTCACTAGGTTAATGTCTATTTCCTTGATACAGCGTTGACGCACCAAAAGCTATGATAAGGAGTCAGTAACGAAAAGGCACAGGATTCCATAAGCTTAAGACATCCTACCTGGGCATTCCAAAGAGATACACCTAATGCATCTGTAGAAGTCTCAATAAGTCTGTACCTAATAATACATGGTATTGAACCAGTAAACATACCCGGAAGGTAGAGTAACGCTTTGGTTTTCTCAAATTCTCCTGAAGGGATAGTGACGTAGACGTCCACTCCCGCTATTTTCTCTATCTTCCCCGTAGGAGTTCCTGGAAACGTATGCATATCAATACTGAGGATCGATGACAACCCAATTTAAAGCATATTGTACCTTCGTGGCGGACGCCCTTAACACAGTCGGGACAGAGAGAAGGTTCACTGGTCGTCATTTTCTGTTGTACTCCGAGTCAGTTGAACGTGGAAAGGATATGTATTGCTTCCGCAAACCTTTGAAAGCTTTTATGCGCCTGAAGATAGAAGAGACGTGTAAGCTCCCAGGCGTACGTACTGTGCCGACTGGCACCACCAAGCTGGAATTTACGGTCATTGGCCGCCAGCTCCGACTCAATTGCATATACCTCGCTTAAGTGGGAAACGAGATTCCCAAATGATAAAGATTAATCAGATTGCAGTACGTGTTCCTTCGGCATATGCTAGAATAGACTAAATATTCAGTGGAGATGGACGAACAGGATAATCACGCCGATTGAAGGTAGCACGGGCGGTCGCGATCGAGGAATGAAAGTCTCCGGAACGCTCCTAGAGCTCTCATAGTAGCGGTATTTCCAAAAACATAATGAATCTATTATCATTCAAACTAATAACGTCGGAATTATACGTATCCTTCAAGCTCAATTACAAATGTTTCTTGATGCAGGCAGCCGTCTCCTTAAATGCTCCTTCTTTGCCCGCCTTCACGTTGGGATCATTCTGACAATCCTTGAGTAATTAAAACTAGACAACATTTAAATTCGGATAGCTTACCATATCTCCTTTAACCTATATATCCGGCAACGAAAGTAATTAGTCACAATGACCTGCTCAATGCTAATACGATTTCCAAACTCACCGCAAATCCATGCGTACAGCCAGGCCAATGAATCCGCTTATAATCATGCTCATATTTTCCCTCTCCAAGTAATTTATCGGCCATTTCACAAGATTCCTTCGGAAACATCACATCGACATCGCACGAATTGATGAGCATAGGCGTTTGGAATTAGCCAACAATGTCTCTAGGTCTTCGGGACACTTCACGAGCGAAGGGTGGGCGACAGCTCCCACTTTGATAATGTTTTCTTGAGCCAGGTTAAAGACGTATTTTCCTATACACAAAAACATATATGAGCGAATTCTCGACATGAGCATGCTTTATATAAATAAACAAACCTCCAAAGCAATAACCAGTAACTCCAAAATGAATTATGCCCTTTCCTTTGAGAGCTGCGATAACAGGGTCAATTTGCGCCCTGGTAACGCTTTCGCTATGCCTCTCGACCCATCCCCAGCGGTCGTACTTCTCCCAAGCCTGGATCAACCTGATTAACAAAAATATTGAGCAACATCAAAAGTGAATCTAATACTTCAGGATCCTCGAAGACTGAAATAGGAACCGGCTCGCTATGGCAAATATCGATTACGTATGTCTTTGAAGTGTAAGAATTAGATTTGTGTATGAGGGAAGTTAAAAGGCTGACCTGTACACCGTTCGATGCAAAATCGTCCGCCTTTAAAGTCTAGAT